CCTGGGCTCTGGGCGGCCGCCAGCACCAGCCGCAATTTCCTTCAAAGTAAACCCAAAAATAAGCTTTCTTATTGCCCAGGATCCGCTGCCAGACCCACTTTCTAGTCGGGATTTCAGGAATCATTTTCCGCACCCTTCTTCCCGTGAAAACTTGGGAAGTCTTTAGCATGCCTTTGCTCTCATCAGACCCCGGAGAAGCTTGCTTGCAAATACACCTTCTTATATATTCACCCTATCTATATAGATATATAGATATCTATATAGATATCTCTAATATCCATCCATCCACCTATCCATCTATCCATCTATCCATCTATCTATCCATCTATCTATCCATCTATCTATCTATCTATCTATCTATCTGTCTGTCTGTCTGTCTATCTGTCTATCTGTCTATCTGTCTGTCTATAGGCTGAATATATCTCTTATCTGTCTATCTGTCTATCTATCTATCTGTCTATCTGTCTATCTATCTATCTGTCTGTCTATATGTCTATCTATCTGTCTATAGGCTGAATATATCTCTTATCTGTCTATCTGTCTATCTGTCTATCTGTCTATCTATCTATCTGTCTATCTGTCTATCTATCTATCTATCTATCTATCTATCTATAGGCTGAATACATCTCTTATCTATCTATCTATCTGTCTATCTATCGGCTGAATATATCTCTTATCTATGTCTATCTGTCTATCTATCTATCTATAGGCTGAATATATCTTTTATCTATCGATCGATCGATCGATCGATCGATCTATCTATCTATCTATCTATCTATCTATCTATCTATCTATCTATCTATCTCTTTCCTATATTCACTATATATTCCCCCATATTTAGGACTATTAACCACGATGTAAGAGACAAGTCCGTTAAGTAGCCTGATTTCTGGCACCCGGTTTAAAAAAGGCATGACCCCGAGACAAGATTCTTAGAAGATAACTTCAAGACCTGAATTTCCTCAGCAGTCATTGCTGGTGTGCTCTGTATACACCGATTTATCTCCGCTTTTGGGGAAGAAAAGAAAAAAAAAGATAAAAGACATTTT